ATTAGGATCCATGGGATTAACCTGTATAAATAAAGGTTGAACGAAAACTTCTTTTTTTTAATGTAATGTTTTGATTAGTCAATAAAGTTATTCAATTTTTTTTTGCTGTAAAATCAAAAAGGTAAATGTCAAATTAATGAAATGATGTCCACTATTATTACTTTAACAACTCACGAATGCAACAAGAAACAAAAGAGGACAGTTGTTTGACTTACGACTGTTTTCGTAAAGAAAACGAGATAAATAATTTTAAAAGGTGCAGAATTTGTAAAGCTTTGTGCGCCCACGTGCATTATAATAAGTCTACGTCATCACGTCACAGAGGACGTACGTTCATGCAAACATGCTTGTTTTCGTTTTAAAACGTGAAACAACCAGCGGAAAACAAACTTCGGCACCTGCGAGTTATCTCCTCCTCAACAGACACTTTTTTCTGCTCCACCTCCTGAAGTTTACGGATATTTTCCTGGATCTCGTCCTGCAGTTGTTCAATTTGTTTCTGCAAAACAATAATAATAGCGTGTTTAAGCGTTTAGCTTTAGTTAACGTTCAGTCAGGGATTAGGAAGTGAAGAGAAACAGCTTACTGTAGACATGTCCTTGTGCTGCGGAGGTGTAAGACGAGAAAAGACGGTCATATCAGAGTATTGACATATGGCACTTGCTTCCGCTTTATAAAGGCTACTTCCGCTAGCAGAGTCAGAGCCCGGATAGCTCAGTCGGTAGAGCATCAGACTTTTAATCTGAGGGTCCAGGGTTCAAGTCCCTGTTCGGGCGAAACGTTTTTTTAGTTTTTTTTTTAGCAAATTAAATTAAGAGCTGAAATTAAAATTCACCACTAATGCACTGGAACACATAATGTGAACAACGGTAATGAAAAATGCGGATGATGCACGTGGAAAGTTAACAAAAAAATGAACATGCTTTTTTTTGTGTGTGTGCTCGTTTTCATACACACTTAAAATTTTAAGTTAATTTAATTATTTTGCTTGTACTGAAATTACAGCACAGTGTCTCAGATTTCCAATTTACTTGCGTTTTATTGCCTAGGTGTTTATAAAATAATTATTTATTTTTCTCCTTTTATTATTTTAATAAACAAGACATTAGGTCTATAATAACAATATTTCAAATTGGCTATATTTTAAGAGTTCGGAACTTTTAAAGTTGCGTAAGCTGCTCAGTTGAACGTTTACATACAGTCCAGCCACAATAAAACATTTTTTTTTTAAGTTTAATAATTAGCAACATCAGTAAATTTAGGATTTCTAACCTTGATGAAGTATCCTAAACATCCATATGGGCTAGTTTCTGAGTGAATTGCCCACATTTTAGCTTTTGAAAAAGAAAATTAAAGAGTTGCAGCTATTATAAATATATTTAGTTAAATTGCACAACCAGTATTTATTAACCCATATGAAGTATTTTGTGTATCAGTCAGAGACAAAGATTAATCCTGTTTGTGTGGAGCCAATTATTACAAGAGAAAGATCAGGTCTTTGAGGAATTAGAGAATGTGGATAAGAATATGTTGTGATCTGATATTAGCTGCACAACACAGCATGTGAACTATGGGTGAGCTTAGCTTCAGCAGAAAGAAAACAGTACTCCGAGTAAACGAACACGCCATCTAAATCCCAAAATTGTACCAATCCTGTGCCAAACATTGAACCGTTTCATTTAAAGCCACTCATTGAATATGATCTGTTATTATGCACAGTATAGGACCTCACATTAGGCTCCTGTTGCAGATGTTGTTTTGGGAAAAAATATAAAAAAAAATCAAACTAATTAGAGGATTAAAGTCACAAACAAATAACAAGATCCCTGTAATTTACCTGAGATAATCACGGGTATTATCTCCGGACAGTGACTGGGAACACCTATAAAACTGGGTGTTAGTGTAGGTCAAATGGCAACACCGACGGCGCACCTGACTTGTGAAGATGGAGCGGATGATCCTCCTGTGTGCGCTTTCCACTTGTCTCTCAGCTGTGCACGCTCAGGTAAACACGCAGCTAGAATTCAAAGTGAGGATAACATTTTTTATGAACTACTTTTCTGCGCTTTTTGCAGAATTTCTTGGTGAGTTCTAAATGGATTCCTGTCGGCCACAGAGGTAAAACAATTTGATCTTTTTTGTAAATTTTTGATTGACGTGTCTGCACCATATTTACTTAAATGCTGCGTTCATACTGACCGACTGACCGAAACTTCTGTTTCAGAGCGTGAGGAAAACAACGATGGGACGGCAATGGATAAGATAATCAAAGTGAATGAGTTTCACGGTGAGTTTTTCTATGAAAACTCTGTGAAAACCAACTTTTTTTTAAATCTCCTGAATGATTTGTTTTTCACCAATTTCTGCATCAGCCACTCGGATCATCGACGGCACCACAACACTCAGAGAAGGAGACATCGCTGTTTCTGCCGGGAGACGCTCCAGGGTCTGCTTCGCTCGGAGCTGCCTCTGGTCTAAATCGGTGGACGGACATGTCTACGTTGCGTACACGCTTTCACCTGAATATTGTACGTTCAGTGTTTGATAAGTGCAATATCATACATCAAATTTACATTCATTTATATGTGAGTTACCTGATCCTTGTCCTCTTTTTCAGCTGAAATTGAGACAAAGCTGATAAAGAAGGGAATGGACAACATAGAAGATGTTACCTGCGTTCGTTTTGTTCCTCGAACTCACCAGAGGGACTACATCGACATCCAGCCAAAATCTGGGTGAGGAGTTGTATTCCAGTCTGCTTGTATTTGTTTGGATTAATATTCTCCTTTTGGCTGAACCTTTTTCTGTGTAAATGTGCCGTGCGGAGTTAAAACTGTGGTTTGCTTCTCTGGTTGAATAAACTCGTAAATCAAGGTGCTGGTCTTACCTTGGTTCTCGCGGTGGAAGACAGACTGTATCTCTGCAGAACCCCGACTGCATGCAAGTCGGAGTGATCGCCCATGAATTCATGCACGCCCTGGGCTTCGTGCACGAGCAGTCCCGCTTCGACCGTGACAATTATGTCACCATCATGTGGCCAAAAATCTGGAGAGGTAACAGTTGCGTAGAAAGAAATTTCCAGTTACAAAGCATGATTTATTTATTTTTTGGTGTTGTTCAAACTGTATTTTTGTGCAAATCTGATATACAGTAAAATGTTTATAGCAAACACGAGATGCACGTTTCACTTTTAATTTCCTAACAGATCGACTCAGAAACTTTGAGAAGTTCAAAACTGACAGTCTGGACCTTCCGTACGACTACGGCTCCATCATGCACTTTGGGATGTAGGTGATGGTGTGTGTGTATCCCACTCAGTATATTTACGTTTGCATTCATTGTAACATCTATGTCCACATCTAGGTACGCCTACTCAATGGACGGAGAACCAACCATTGTGCCTAAGACCAACAGGAACATCAAGCTCGGCCAGGCATCGTCTCTCAGCCACATCGACGCACTGAAAATCAACAGACTGTATGAATGCGGTTCGTAACAACCTCATATTAACTTCCTTCTTTTTTTTAGAGCTATTAAACATGTTGGGATGGGTTTGACTTCTTATTTTATTTGTGTCTCTCTCCGCAGCTGTCAAAGACGATTAAAACCGAACCAAACTGAGGTGAAACAAGAGTCACCTGAGAGCTGAGTCCTGCAACATTTTCAATAAAGATTTCCTTCTGGCCTTCTATCAACACTTCATCAGTGAAAATAAAGTCATTTGAAGCAAATCACGCCACTTTATGCTAAATGGTTTATAAAATGATGATCTATAAATGATTTATGCTGTAAACTTTTGTTGTTGTGCAGTGAAAGATGAGTTGAACATGACAGTCTTGTTCAAAACATCCTCACTTGCTTCCTATAATTAAAAAAGATCATGGATCAATCACTTCTACTTGTTTACTTATTATTACACTATTAAAACACATGCAAGACGTTTGAAAAGTAAAACCACACAATAATTTCAGATTAAGAAATAGCTGCTAATCTGTTTAGACTCAACAAAACAACTTCTCTGAATTAATAAAAATCTTTTTTTTTTTTTTGCACGTGTAGACAGGATACACAAATCCATGCACTCTTACTATATTTGCAGATATTTATTGTGCAAATACACCTATGATAATCATAAATACAACTCCTCCCCAAGTGCTTGCACTTCATAATTGTCCCCTTAACCAAACCAGAAATAATGTTTGATGGAGGATAAAGTCCTGTTTGTGTATTTTTACCCACGTGACGAAGTGATTGTTGTTGTCACCAGCTACAAAATCACAGGTTGCCCGTCCAGTCAGACTCAAATTGGTGGTCTTGTCGCTCTGGATGGACAGTTATTCCTCTGATAGCAGCCGCTGAGCTGTGGCACGTCCAGCAAAACACCCTCTAAGTGTCTCATTTCTGAAAGTGCTGAATAATGAAGATCAGCATCAGGACCACCTGTCGCGGATCAGCTTGTGGACTTGAGTAAATTACACCCACAGGCTGATGAGAGGTGTTGGGCTGTGCTTCATCACAGAAGAGAGGCCCAATCAGTACGAAGCTGTGCAGGAGAAGTGGGTATATAGATTCACTTGGAGGTGGTGGCTTTATTGAACTCTTACACTGGGAGACGATAAGCTGAAACTGATCTGAAAGGCAACCATGATTTCTACCATCATGCTTCTGGGCGTCTTGGGTCTGATAACACAAGCGGACATGCTACCTGTTCAGGTCAGTATCAAGAACGTACATTTTACAAATGAGATTTTCTGTCTGTTCACATGCGCTTTTGTCTCACAGAATTCAACCGAGATCCAAGAGAGCAAAGCAAGATTAAAGAGGAAATACTCTGGTGAGCTTTTAGACATTTAGTTTGATCATTTACTAGATTGAATCAGAATAAACAGGATTTATTTTTTTTTCAGATGAACTGCCAGATTTTGATGAAATGACTGCAATGGATCAAATCTTTGAAGTCAACAGCAGTAAGTTTACGCCAACTGGAGTTGATCTGGGCTTCTTCTGCTTTGTGTTCTGAGCTTCGTTGAACTTTTTGTTTGCTCATTAGGACTGAGAACCCCCAGAGGTCTGTCCTTCAAAGAGGGAGACATTGCCTTCTCTTATGTACGGAGTGCCATAAACTGCCCAGGGAACGCCTGTCTGTGGCCTAAATCAGTCGATGGATTTGTTTATGTGCCCTTCATCATGTCTCCTCTATACGGTACCAGACTTACCAAGGAGTACAAAGATTTATCAGTAGAACTGATTTTTATTCAGATTGTTCTTGCTTCTAGATGACATGGACAGAATTACCATAGAAACAGGGATGCAGGACATTTCTGCTGGATCATGCATTAAGTTTGTTCCTCGCACTCATGAAGCAAACTTCCTCGATATCCAGCCTAGATATGGGTGAGAAAGACTTCTTTTTTTATGTTTATTTCTATTTGTATTATGTTGGCATGCGTGTGCAGCACTGTTTTCTTTTCGTTCCTTCTTCCCCAAGCTGCTGGTCATTTCTGGGGCAGACCGGAGGGAATCAGGTCCTGTCACTGCAGACTCCTGGGTGCATGTGGTCAGGGATCGCTGCTCACGAGTTCATGCACGCCCTTGGATTTGTGCACGAGCAGTCCCGCTCAGATCGAGACCACTACGTCACCATTGTATGGAAAAACATCATGCCAGGTTTGGAGATGTGAACACTCCCCCGCAATGTGCCCAATAAGTTCATTTTGATCAAATAAAGCTAAAGCTCTGTTCCTGTGTTGACAGAGCACATTCATAACTTTAGGAAACAGGTCACAAATAATCTCAACAGCCCGTATGACTATAGCTCTGTCATGCATTATGGACGGTGAGCTGCTGCTTTAAGCAACATAATTCTACATTTTTTTTAGTTTTAATCCTCGAGCATCACTTTACATAATACTTTTCTGCTCCTCTGATTCAGATACGCCTTCTCTGAAGATGGTGGACCAACTATCATCCCCAAACCTGACCCTTACATTCCCATTGGCCAACGGGATGGACCCAGTGCACTTGATCTTCATAAAATAAATACCCTGTATGGCTGCGGTGAGCAACAGCAACAGCAAAACTAAGGAAGTAAACATTTGTTTATATCAAATTATTTCTGAAACTTGTGCTTTCTCCACTCATCTCTGCAGGTGCTAATGATTAACCGAACACAGACGTCTTTACCGTAAAGTCCTGCCAGATGACAACATCATTTATGTCAGTTAATGTTTTTGTCAGACATTAATTTTTATCAGAAACATTGTGCCATCTTTTAGATTGTGATCATACCTTTTTGAGTACAATCTGCTGATTGCCATTAAATTAATGGGTTAATTAACTTTAAAGAAAAAGCACGCTTAATATAGTGTCCCCAGTGCTGAAGCTTTTTAGATAAGTGTTTTTAGTTTTTTAATAAGGCTGAAGAATCTTCTGCCTCTTTTTCAGCTTTTTGTGATTTCAAATAAAGAAAATGCAACAGACTTGTGTTTATTGTCCCTTGTTTTGGTGCACTTAAAATGCAATTTTGTTCCATTATCTATGGATTTCCAAACTTTCAAGTGAGGTACTCAGTTTTAGTTGAGATTTCTTTAAAAATAACAAATCTTTGTCTTTTTCTTTGCGCTTGTCAAACAATTATGTTTTAAAGTAAGTGCAGAATATAAAAATGTGGATTTGTTGTTTATATTATGATTTATATATTAATTCTTGCACAAGTTCTAATATTTATCAGTGATAATTTACTCACCAGTAGGTTGCACTGTTTCTATAATTATTAGTTGGATTTTGCATATTGATTATTGAATCTTATTATTTACTAAAAGCTTAATTTACATGACTTTTAATTGTCTTTTTTTTAAGCTACTTAAATACAAACTCTAACAGTTTGTATCTATGGGAAAACTCAATGATAAAAATAGTTGGATGTAAAATGTTTATTTAAAAAATAATTTTTATATCACTTTCATTTCATTCCACAAGTTTGTACCGTTATGTACATTCAATAGAAAACCCTTTATTTTAACCGTTAACGGGTTTAATCCGGGCAATAAATGTAAAAAAACCTACAACAAAACTATCCTCTGAGATACAATGAAAGAATATGAAATGTGAAATATGAAATGTGAATTATGAAATGAAATGCATTTTTGTACATATTTGGAATGAACGTTTCTGGCTCAATGTGAAATAAATTGACAACAATTGGATGAATAATAACTTGGCATCAACATAAAAAAACAGTTGATCACTTCATTTACATTTGTATTAGTTTGAAAATTATTTCTTAATTGTTATTCATTAATAGTTTGTAAATGAGAAATGGTTTCAACAGTGTAGCACCGTTTGCTTGCATTATTTATCTCAAACTATGATGCGCATTTTATTTTTGCTGTTATCGCAAAGCTAACCAACACACAACAAAATAAAATAATGTATTTTGACTTTTTAGTATTTGTGGCATTTCCCACGTGTAACGTTTGGGTGGTGTTGGGACAGCTTTTTGACTCATTAGACGGCTTGCATCTTCTCATGCAGTCTCGCTCCTTTGTGTTTTAATTTTATTTCTTATTTTATGCTTTTTTTCATTATTTTGTAAAACTTTCTGTTTTGTAAAATGTAGTTATTATGATTTATGACACCTTTCCACGAGAGTTTGTATAGTACTATTATTGTTGTGTTTTGTATAATTAATAAAGTTTAAAAAAGAAAACACAAAAAGGGGGCGGAGCTTCTGTTGGCAGATCTGACATCCGATTTCCGTGTTCAATGGAACGCAGCAATCCTCAACCTAGAATTATCACAATCACTAAAATGAACGATAAGGACAAAAACCGGGTATGTATGAATTTTATTGCAACTTCTTTTTTTCTTGAAAATCGTTTTCAATGTTTGCGCGATGTAAATGGTTCGCCTGTTTTGTGTCGCTGAATTAGCGCTAGGCTAATGCAACGCCCGCTAATGATTAGCGGGCGTTTTTTGTTGTCGTTTAATTTCGTTGGCTAATTCTTGTTCTTTTAAGCTGTAGTTTATAGTCGAAGTACGTTCAAAATTACTTGATTTATGTCTCAAAAACGCGCCGTTTTGTTAACAGGATTGGAATTACCATCCTCGTGCGGCTATAAATTTAGCTAGGTGGCTAATGCTAATGTAGCTAGGCCTCAGGCACTGTCTTGATTCGAATAAAACAAGCCACAATCAATTTAATACAAATGTAATGGCGCTGTTAAGCTCGTCGTTGCGTTTAATTGTTCTAGAGGTACAAAATTGTTTCTTGTTCAAACACTAAACTCTTTACTTTAGCCTAATTCAGAACATGCTAGAACACCGAATAAGCCTAGTTTCCTTTTGTACTTAGTCTCTGTCTACGCTATTTATATCATGTATCTAAGTAAACTACATTTTATGATATCTTTAATGTTGAATGTTGTAAATAGCATTTTAGAATTGGGAATCTGTTTTTTTTTTTAATTATTCGTTTGTTGGCGCGTCCAGCTTGATGTTACTGAAGCTTAAGAAAACGTGTTTTAGCTCAAACAGCTTCAAGATTTCTCCTGACTTGTTTGCATTATCTTGCTACGTTAGCTTGAAATTTTAATGGCAAAAGTAACATATTAGCGTGTTTACAAGGTATAATTCTCTCTTTTGCCTAGCTTCATCCACTATACACAGTCCCCTAAATAAAACCCCATGAAATCAGGAAATTATCATCCATATAAGCGTTTAAATACACATGTAAGCACTTTATAGCTCTGTACTTGGAGAGGTAACAAGTTGGAGGTGTTGAGATAATTTCCAGGGGTCAATGATTGCTGTTAGTAACGTTTTGCAGTAACTGCTTTGAGAGATTAAAACAAACCATATTAATAAATGGAAACAGGGTTTGTTACTTGTTCAGCTGTTTAGTTATTGAAGCAAGTAACATATGTGGTCTAGTTTGCTCCCCGTCATCTTTGTAAAAGAAAATTAAAGCATCTGAAGTGCACGCAAATGGATCATATTTTAATTTGATTAGGTTTGAGCAGAGACAAATGTATATAAAAGTGAGAGTAATGCAAATGAGTGGAGAGTCTTTAGGTTGTTTTGATTATTTCATTCTGTGGGGAATTTCACAACCAGTGGGGTTTAACTTGGAATATGGTGTATTCACATTCAGTGGTTTGAAATGGTGCAATATATATATATATATATTTTTTTTTTTTTGTAATGTTAGCAAGAATATTTTTTGAATACATAATGCATGTGTAATTGTAACATGAGTATTTATATGTGATGTAAGAAACATGCAGAGAATGACAGGATTTTGTTAAATATAGCCAATGTTGAAAAACTTGTGTTCATGTTCTCTCTCTCAGGTTAAGAAATGTTTATTTATTTTTATGTTTTTAGATTACTGCACCTTCCTGTATGTCATTTTTTTTGTGTTTAAATATTTAATTATATGCTAAATAAGAAAAAAAGGACATAACAGTGAATATAGAACCACTGAAGGTGAATTATAAAGAAATAGTTCCAATTAATGCTACAAGATCTTAACATGAAAAGTAAAATGAGCGTACCATTTCAATTGTAGTCATATTCTTCATCCTTTTCTTTTTCATTAAGGTTAAGGTTGGACGAAGAAAATGCAGAAGAAGTCTCTTGTCCACTTTATTTTCAATAATATGAAGCTCAGATGTGTGAAGCTGAATTGTTGAATGCATGCTAAAACATGAGGAGGGAAGAACTATGAGCAGTGTGTGAGAAGGGGGAAGTCAGAAGATGTAAGACAATTGAAGAAAGAAGAATATTGTGAAGTAATGAAGTTACAGAAATGAAGTTAAGGAAGTAAGCTGGATAAGGTCACTGTGCTAAGTAATTTTCTGGTCTCTTTGTCAAATGCGTGCATGTCCTAGTTTTTGAATACAGTACAACACATCTTAATATTTATCACTGCAATTTTTATTTCACAACTGGAAAAAAACATATTTTACATGTTATTTAATCATATTAAATAATGTAATCACATTATTCCACTTTCCTTGGTTAAACAAACATTAGCCTTTTAATTATAATTTACAATTACAGTATTGTTCTTTAAAAAAAAATTCCAGGATATTTGTAACCATTGTTTGAGAAAATGTGTCCGTTATCACCGTATCTGTGATAATAACTTGTGCTAATCTTGTTCGTTCAGGAGTCACGCTCCTCCTCCAGGAGCTTGAGTCCTCGTGGCTCTGGGAAGTCGGCAAGCCGCTCCCCAGCTCGTTCGCCTGCCCGTTCAAAAGATGGATCCCGGCATTCCCGCTCTAAGTCCTGGTCTCGATCCAGGTCCAGATCTGGGTGAGTTAAATGGTAGCTTTCAGCTCACGGACTGAATGTGAAGCAGGTGTACAGGGTTCCCACACAGAAATTAGATTTTTATAATTTCCAGAAAACATTTTGCATGTAATATTTATTTTAAAATAAAATAAATGTAACTGGGGTTAGGGATCACATTTATCTTCATAAAGGCATTATACAGATTACAAAAAAATATAGGAACATTTTTGAGGAGAAGCTCCTTTGCATAACGTATAGATAATGAAAAGAGCACCACTGTATACAGTGTTTCCCCTACTGTTATACAAGGAGGGTGCCCTGTCTACCGACACCCACATCCCGTGTACAACTGCTGGCACTGACGTGGCGCTAAGCTAACAGCGTGCAATACAGATGCGCTAGCTAAAAAGCTACAGAGGTAGCGCTCCGTCTCCCTCACGCTTAGCCGTTTCCTTCACCCACCTCCCCACTGGTCGACAGCTGTCAACGCAGCACAGACGTGTCTGTCTCCACCCCCATTGACAAAAGTCACAGAAGAGACGAGTGCCCTGCCAAGGCAAGTAAACTTGGGGAAACACTGGATAAACACAGTGAATAACATAATTTTTAGATGCTTTGATATCCACAATAACTTTAAATTGACTAAAATGTCCAAAAATCATCTGAAAAGGTTTGTACTTTCAAAATTGAAAATCTGTAAGAGTGCAGGCTGTTTGAGGATAGGCTTGGCCATGAACTCTCACAAAAGTGTGGAAACGTTTATTTCTGTGTCTTCAGCTCCCATTCCCACCGCGGCTCACGCAGACATAGCCGGTCTCGGTCCCGCTCCAGGTCCCATCATCGCAGATCTCGCAGTCGATCCTACAGCGGAGAACGTCGGCGCAGAAGCCACAGCCACTCGCCCATGTCCACTCGCCGCAGGCACATTGGTAATCGTGTATGTACCCATTAGTACTTCCTCAGTGCTGCGTCCTTGATGAGTTTATATTCGAGGATTATTAAAGAGTTTTATGAATCTGTCATAATTTTAAATTTTGCATGAAATGTAAAAGCAGGAAGTTGTTTTCATGGGTAATTTATTGGACTGTGATTATGTTGAAATCTTAATTTGTGACTATAGGCTAATCCAAATCCAAACGGCTGCCTGGGAGTGTTTGGCCTGAGTCTGTACACCACAGAGAGGGATCTGAGGGACGTCTTCTCTAAATATGGACCCCTGGAAGATGTCAACATTGTTTATGACCAGCAGTCGAGGCGCTCCAGGGGCTTTGCTTTTGTTTACTTTGAGAACACAAACGATGCTCAAGAGGTAAAAGGAGAATCCCTTTTAAAGAATATCATTAAAAATATTCTCTTGATGCATTCAAATATTAATACTATTTTAGGCAAAGGAACAAGCAAACGGCATGGAGCTCGATGGTCGTAGAATCAGGGTGGATTTCTCCATCACTAAAAGAGCTCACACCCCAACCCCTGGAATCTACATGGGGCGACCAACACAGTGAGTTAACCGAAACCCAACAACTGGTTGTGTGGATCAAGTTTGGTTACAATGTAAACTCTGTCGAAAAGAAAGAAAAAGATGGCCGTTGGCTGGTAATTGGTGAACTCTGAACAGAAAAGGATCATTCCTGAGAATCAGTGACCTATTAAAAATTAAAATTTGAAATGTCTTATATAATTTTGAACAAAGTGTAAAACTTGTTTCCTTTAGTAGCGGAGGTGGTCCCAGTGGGCCCCGACGCCATTCACGTGACTATGATCGGGGATATGATCGCGGATATGACAGAGGAGGTGACAGAGGAGGTGACAGAGGAGGCGACAGAGGAGGCTACGATCGCTATGACGACAGAGAGTACTACAATAAATCATACAGGTGACACTCCCAGTTTATTAGCTGTACTTATGCTTGATCCTCAGCTCATGGTATTTATTTATTGGAATAAAACGACCACATCCAGTGAATATTTTGTTTTCACAGACGCCGCTCTCCTTCTCCATATTACAGAGGTGCATACAGGTCTCGGTCAAGATCCCGATCCTATTCGCCTCGTAAGTCCTTGCTAAATTTCAGCTGTTTTATGATATTTGCCATTTGTCATTAGTTGGGATTTGTCTAATTACTGCTTTCTTTCACAGGTCGATATTGAGCCATTCCAATGGGCAAAAATATCCTCTCTTCTTATGGACAAACAAGATTTTTTTTTTTTTTTTTTTTTCAGAGATATGTTGAATTTTATCTTAGATGTTTGTTTTTTTTCTTAAAGGGATAGTTGGTTTCTTTAGACTGGTGTTGCATGAGGGGAAATCTAAAACACACCTGCAGCATCAGCTCAGCCTTCACAGGTTGACCAGTAAGACAATTTTTTTTTTACATCGACAAAAAGAAAATCTACACGTTGTTAAAATATTTTAACCCTTTACTTTCGAAGATGTCTTGTGTAGTCACTGGAGAAGTCATTTTATGTGGCAGAACGTGCATTTCCTGTTTCAGTTGCCTAGTTTATTTTTGTTTCCATTAATTAGATTTTGTCTTTTGTTTTCAGAAAGTGTGGATCAGACTTAAATCTTTACTTTGGAAGTCTAGGCACACTTCTGGGTTCTGTAAAAATAAAAAAAAAACATTATTTTTGACAAAGAACATGCATGGATGTGAGGGAATAAGCTTTGTTTACATTGTGCCAGTAGCATCCACTTCCTTTAAAACAAAAAATACTTCTACAATCCAACATTAAAGAAACCAGCCCGTCCCGTTAAGACATTCTCCACTGTTCTGTTTGCATTATATACATAAATATACTTAGTTGGTGAAAGTAGGATGATTGTAAAGGAGTTATTGTTTTAAAGTGTACTTGTGCAGCAAGATCTACTGTTGTAAATGTGTTAAGTTATGGACTTTGTTGTACACAAATTGAAAAAGTCAACCTCAAACAAATTAAAGGTTTGCTTTTTTTCCCCTCCCCCTCACCTCGACTTGTACCTTTCCTCACAGCTCAGCTGAGCCAGTAGTTCATAGGGAGCTTTTATTTTGGCGATCATGTCCTGTCATTACAGCAGTGAGTTTAAACGGCAAAAAACAGTTTTCGTATCAATTTTTGAGTTTGAAAAAGCTCTTTTGCTATTAGATAAACGCAAAGTTTAGGAAAACAAATATTGACACTCAAATTTTCACATTTAAGCTACTTGTGTGTGCGTGTGTTTTAATGGATCTTGTATAGCAAGTAGTTTTATTGCAACACTTATAGAGGAAAGCCATATTTTAATCGCAGCACATTTAAAAAGTGATTCATTACAAACTAACTTGATGTTAAAATGTTTATTGCAGTTCTGTTTTGTTACAATATATGTAAATCAGCACTGCGGCTTTGGTGAAACAAAGACCACTTGAGCACAAATCTCACCCACTGAGGTTTAACAGGGACCCTTGCTGGTCATAAACAACTTGAAAAGGTCTGCAAGAAGCCCCAACACTCAAATAACTTAAGATACTTTGTCAAGAGATGTGAATAAAGGAACTTAATTTGTCCAGTCCTTGCCACCTTGGCCAACAAATTGTACTTTTTTACTTTAATATTTCATAAAATGTGCATTACTAATTAATTATTACAACTTTTTTTATCATTACTTTTTTAAATTGGGTGAATTAATGCTTTTAAAATGTGTTATTCACTTATCTTTTTTACTATTCACCAACTCGTTTTTCATAATTTCTAACAAACTAGAAATTAAAAGCCATTTGATTTCGTATGTAGCTTATTCCTTTAAATTAATATAATTATTTAATAAACAATGGTTCCATGATGTAGTGTTAAAAGTATTCAAACTAATAAAGATTTTCCAAAATTACATGTAGTAGTTTTCCAGATGTGTTGTTATGCAATTGAAATGCAGGTACGCACTAAACGTAAACAAAGCTCTGCTGAATCCACTGGAAACCTCGTGGAAGCTCGAGTCACGTGATTGACCTACGTTAGGCTGGTTATGCAAACAAATACGGAGGTATCAGACGAGCGTTGGCTCAGAAAATGTGAGTATGCTGATCAGCGTTAAAAACTGGACGAGTAAAACCGCTTAAGAATATTCTAAACATTTTTAAACTCGATCCTGCTGTAACTGAGCTATTTTCAGTCACTGTTTATGTAGGGAAACAAACACATGATTGGCATCTTGTCACAAACTCCCATTTCTTTTGAATAAGTACACAAATAGAATGGTGCAGATTTTATTTCGTGGTTTGTCTTCATAGTGTTGCAACGAGTACCTTTTAAAGAAACAACAAAGTCCATGCTCAATAATCCAGGTATAAAAGCCAACATTTTTCAGTCAGGTCATCTGGACAGTTTTTTTTTTTGTGCTGAAACGTTTCACCTTTGATCCGGAAGACTTCATCAGTCAAGGAAACGCACAACAAAACTGATTCTTCTTCCAACAGCTTACTCCAAAGTGGAACAAACCAGTTCTGCTTGTGATAAGATGGTCTCTTTGGTACGCCCCTCCTCTATTGCCGGCCCTCTTCCTTGTTGACAGTCTTGTCAAACTGGTTGAAAACAACAAAGTCTACGCTCAGTATTCCAGGTATAAAATCCAACATTTTTCAGTCAGGTCATCTGGTTTTCAACCAGTTTGACAAGGAATAGGGCCAGCAATGGAGGAGGGGCGTACCAAAGAGACCCATCTAATCACCAGCAGAACTGGTTTGTTCCACTTTGGAGTAAGCTATTGGAAGAAGAATCAGTTTTGTTGCGTTTCCTTGACTGATGAAGCCTTCTGGATGGAAGGCGAAACATTTCAGCACAAAAAAAGAAACTGTCCAGTTGACCTGACTGAAAAATGTTGGCTTTTAAATAAACATTTTTATCATTTAACAATACCCGTTAATTGATTTTTAAAACTTGAGTTAAATGTAATTAAGTTGGGAAATGAATTATTTTCTGTTGTAAAAGCTGATATTTAATATTTAAAGACTTGCCAGTGTTAAAACGCTGCTGTGAGGCTCTTCTATGATAATAATGAAAGCATTTTGAAAACGCAGAGTGAGAAGGACTGAAGGCACGGGTCACAGCTGACCACACCTTGGAAACTGCCTGTTTATTCCCATGTTCTACCACAAGCCTACATATGTGTCGCTCTACTTGTTCCGCACTTCTCTCCAAATGTCACATCCCTTCTTGTCGCACCTCATTTCCCTTTCAGAGTGGAAATATTCATTTTTTTGACACCACTGACCTACTTCAGCACGGTCACATAAGTGCAAATATATTGCTTGAAATTCATTCATTCAACCTTTTCTTTGTACTGGTTAGTCTGGCAGATCCTTTAAGAAAACTTTGCACAATGAATGTTTTTCTTTCACTGTCACCTGGTGGCAGAAAAAGACCCAGGACTGGCGAGCGTGGATGCCTTCAGGAAAAGTAACTAAAGAGCTGTTTTGTAAATAAGCCACAGTTTGGACATTCCTCTGTTCACAGTGACGTAAAACAAGACGAGAAGGAACGGTCACGCCTGCTGCTGGCATGAACTCTGCTCTGCAGTGGGGTGGCAGTAAAGCTCTAAAATGCATAAAGAAGGGGAAAAAAGAGAAACACTCAGCTCTTTAGACAAGACAACAACGCTGCTACAGCCTTGCAGCTTTTGTCTGCCTTTAAACACGAACACTCCCATCTGCACACACAGCAAATAAAGGATGTAATATTCAAGAGTGGCAGAGTGATGGTGGGTGCACGAGGGCCAGGAATCCCAAAATATTTGCTGCACTTTACATTTTGGGCCTAAATGGTGCTTAATTTCTAATAAAGTGTAAACAAGCTTCAAGTTATGGTTAATCATTACAGGGATTATCAAATAAGAAGGGGTAAATTATTTCTGCAAGGACAAAATGTACAAAAGGAGGTTGCGTGGTTTCACTTTCGGTATTACGCATGTGATTTCCTCCTATTTTATGTTTGTCCTTTGAATTTGATGCAAAATGCACAAAGTTTCTGTAATACCTGCAGTGTTTTTTTTTTTCTCAAACAGGTGGTGCTCACTACAGCGAATAACCTGCATGAATCTATATTTCTGCATTACTAGTAAATGAATTAAAATGGGAGGATATGGGATAAGTGAGTTGACAAGTGCAGGGGCACCTCTAGAAAGTTCTCAGAGGGGCCAGATGAGGGACACCGATAATTCTGGGGTGGCACACTAAAGCCAATCTTAAATTATTTATCAAGAAAGCAAATTAATTTTGACATATTTTAATATGCAAAAAAACCCCTTAAAAATCTGTTCAACTTAACCTGTTGTCTTTATTCAGGGTGACCAGCTTTTAACGATTGTTCTGCTTTAAGAGCAGAAGCAAATGTGAAAAGATGAGAAAATTACCGTTAATGCTAGAAAAGCTGTGTCACCTAAAACTATCGTAAATGATGGAAAAGTGGCGCCACTTAACATGAATGACCAAAAAAAATGTGAGAAAAACTGCACCATGTAAAAAAAATTGTAATTATAGGAAAACAGTGCAAATAAACAAATATATATTTATAAATTAAAATAATACTTCCTCTGATCTGGGCTCCTTTGAGGACCCTTTAGTTCAGGAATGAAGAGGATGAGACTGGCCAAGGAGGCTCAGTGAGGTGGGGGGGGCATCCACTTCCATCCAGCCCTCACCCTTGGGGGTGGGATGGGGCATAAAGGTCGCCCTTCAGGCCCATCACTTTTACAGAAACCCCCCAAAATCATCATCCTCCAGTGATCTCTACATCTGCATTCTTTTTTTAAACATGATTTTATTTTTTAAGGGAGGTTTTATTTTTCTAAGGGCGGTGCTTGTTGGAGTAGCGTCGTAACGACACGCCCCCCTCCCCACCACTCCCCCTGTTGAAAGAGTTTGACCAGGGCCAGAGTTGTGGCGGTATTGGGGGGTTGGCTCATTGAGCTCCGTAGGAACCTGAAGGGGGGTGATTGCTGCGCTTTATTTTTTTTAACCTCCCCTTTATTTAATATTTTATTTATTATTATTTTTAATTCTGATTATCGCCTTTAGGAGTTAAGATTTGACAGCCACCCCTCCCTCCCTTTTTTTTTTTTTTTTTTAGCTTTTCTCCCCCCTCCTCGTTTTCAGATCATGAACAAACTATATGTTGGGAATTTAAGTCCTTCGGTCACCGTCGAGGACTTGACGCAGCTCTTCGGGGAGACGGAGCTGCCAGCGCCCGAGCAGGTCCTGCTCAAATCCGGCTATGCTTTTGTGGACTTCCCCGACCCGAACTCGGCCATAAAGGCTATAGAGAGCCTCTCGGGTGAGTGAAGTGAGCGCTGGGTTTGATCAGGAGGGATGCTTTTGCTGCTGACAGGGAGAGAGGAGCAGCCACGGCGGTCCACGCTGCGCGAGGTCCGGGTGCAGCGTTCAGTCTTGTTTGTGTTTTTGTTTGGGGAGTGGAGGGGTGCACAGGACCGTGTGTATGTATGACACCCATCTTTAGTTGAGCTGAACCCTCAGTCCAGGAGAAATGGCATAAAATGAACGATCCCGGCCAGGAGTCAGTCTGGGAGGTGATCCCGAAGACGCGGAGCGTCGAGTTTTACGCGCAGAGTTCTCTGTATTTTATTTCATTAAAGAAAACATTCTGATCGGGTGTATTTGTGTGTGTGTGGCTGCTGCTGTCTTTTAATGCAAAAGAAGACCAAAAGAGAGACAAGGGGGGGTGGGGGGAGTCACCCACTGGAATGTATGGGATGGTCTGACGGCTCAGTCCGGGGTAATTATTTTTCACTTATTTTTCGTCCTGATTTTATTGAGGAGCGCAGCGCGCGGCGAGCGCCCCAAACTTGCCGGAGCCCGGTTCGGCCGGGGTCCGGCTGGGTTTTTACGAGGTGTCTTGGAGGTGGGTCACGGGGGTCCTGAGGAAAAGAGCTCATAAACAGGTAGCTGAGGAAGGAGGAGGAGGGAGGACGAGGTGAGACGCTATTCCGCGCCGCTGCGCCTCGGCCACTCGGGAACGGCTTTCCTGCTCCAACCTAACCCGGGTTGATTTGTGTTGTTGTTTAAAAAACAACAACAACAAAAAAACAAACAAACAAATGCACCTACACAACAAAAAAGAGGAAACAACAAACATATAGCAGCACCCCTTCCTCCCCCTCCTCCCTCTGTGCTGCCTGTGGGAGTGGAAAGCATGGCTGCCCATTCCTCCTCCAAAACAACCTCAACATGCTTTCATGCTTTCTTATAGTGCCCCACTCTTGTTGTTTTATTTACTGTAAATATACTGAGGGCAGCCAGGGTGCGTGTAGTGCGCGTGGCAGCTTGAAGAACTTGCTGAAAAGTGACTGTCCATTTCCACCTCTTTCAGGTAAAGCGGAAATACACGGGAAGGTGATAGAAGTAGACTACTCTGTCCCAAAAAAACTAAGGTAGGAAACACCCCCCCCCCCCCCCCCCCCTCCCCAGGCTGTGAAACAATCACACATTATTGTAATCATGCGCATCTATACTGTGTGCTGTGCCCCATGGCGGATTGCTTGTGACCTGTAGGCTTCCGCTCTGAAATATAGCAAGACTTTTGGTTGTTGTTTTGTTTTCTGGGGTGCTGCCTGGTGCCAGGTTCTTCTTCGTGTTTTGGTGCTTGCTGTTGAAAGCTGTAATTATGTGGTGGACAAACAAACAAAAAGGAAAACAATAATAAAAAATAAAAAAAGACCCTAACATCCGCAGAACAGTGGCTGCTCCGCTGCCATGTTGCGTGATCTCTGCAGTGAGGCCACACACACACAGTTACGCACACGCCGCGCACATGTATCAACATGGTCCTAATTAATATTTTTAAACAAACGGATTAATTTGCATACACATAAACTGTTGTCCCCGCTAGATGATAAAAAAAAAAAAATCTATGGTCAAAGGGTTGCAATGCGCGCTGAGTTTTCCCTCTTTGGTATATTTTGAAAAATATATATACATATATATTTTTTACTTTTGTAAACCAATCTATTGCATGCCCAAACAGATTACAAACACAATTTTCTCTGGTTGTTTGATGAAAATGCCCTGAACACTAATTCTCTGCTCATAACGCAGATTACGCAAAGAAAACCAGCTTTTCACGTCTATTTTCCCAAAAGAACCATTACTTTCTATAGGGGGGAGAGTACATTGCGTGACTAAAAGGTAAATATTCAACCCCCTTGTGGAGGAGCACGTGATCCCTACTTCATGTGCTCTCAGTGTAGTCCTCCCCCTCCAGTGCGCGCCACACTTTCCTGCCATGTTTTTGTCGCTTTAGAGGATAAATAATGCGTAAAATGCGCAGTTATTCAGCTTTTGTGCAGTTCTTCTGCTTTACGGCTCGTTGTGACTGCGTTTTTTGAAGCTCCGTGGCGCAACATGGTGTCAAATCGTGCGCCACTCCCCTCACCACTTCATGTGCACGTAGGCCATGATGGAAAGGCTGGGAGAGCCTCATAATGGCTGCCATGATGGGCCTGCCTGCTCTGTGCGCGGCTATAGGCGGACTCAGGATAGAGCTAAAAGTCGATACACTTCCCCCTAAACCACCTCTCCCTCGTCATATATGTGTGTGCGTGTGTATGGGTGTGTGTGCAGCTGCTGGACCCGCATTCTGGAGGAAAAAAAGGCCTTGAAGCGAAATCTCCGCCATGTCTGTGAGGTTCACAGCAGAGCGGCGTGATGCGTTCAGGTGCTCCTTTCTTAACGTATATTTACAGTTAAAAAGGCGCATTTAGGGTCCTTTCTGCTTGGTTATGTTGCCTTTTAAATAAAATTACCAGTTTAAGGGTAGAAATAAAGAACTAAAAACCTATTTGAATATCGTCTGTTTGTTTTGTGCTTTTATTAAAGGCTCATAACGTAAATTGTAATTTTTTTAGAAACTCAAAATTTTATGTTACATTAAATTATTTTACTGGTTTAAATCACGTTAATGCATCATTTTAATGTATTCCAACATGTCCTGATGCATACACAATACGTTTAATAATCCAGCCACAAATTTATCCAGTTTTATGCGCTGTTTATATTATTTTAGCTAAACACACTAAATTATTACATGAACTGGTTTGCGTTTTTAATAAAAAAAAAAAAAAATCAGTAGTTTTACTGTGAATTGAAGCTAGAGGATTGAATTAAAATACAATTTAGTGATTTGGGTTATTTAGGAAATATGGACTTTTTTCCAGGCCTAAACTTGTTTATTGTTTTTTTCTGTCTTTTGTTGTGATATTTACCACATGAACACATTTTCATTAACAGTAAAATCTTGTATTTAAAAAAAAAAAATTTAGAAAAGAAATTTATGTAACTGGGCCCTAAAAAAATTTGGGTTTTAGGTGTAAACTGTGTTGTTTTGATGTTTTATTCATCATTTAAACATATTCTTTATATGTTTTGACACTTTATTTGATTCAAAAACACATGTTGTTTTTTTTTAATAAAAGAAAAATCTTTTTCCAGTGTAGTCACTTTTAAAAGCTATTATCTAAAGCAGAAGAGAATTATTCCTTTCACATTGTTACTAATATTTTAAAAAGTTGTTTTTGTAGCTATTGAGTCATTTTTTAAATAGTTTTATTAATGTTGGATATTTAGATGACTACAAAACCATAAATAAGTATTATTTATATTTAAAAGATTGATTTCATATTTGAGAGCTTCAGTTTAAAATCCTATTTCTGGAATATTTGGTGTCATATTTAACATGCAAGGATGGAGGTTTAAATTACACTTCGATGTGTAAAAACAAACATACACCAGGGTTTAATTTAAACCTCCAGGTTTAAATCTGCATAAATTATTATCATGCAATAACAAATCTTGATTAAAATAAGTGAGTTCAGTAACAAACTACAATTTTCTTTTACAAACAAAACAAAAATCTAAATAAATTTGTGTCTTTGCTGTTTTATTTAAAGCTCATTATTCTATTAAAATAAATCATTCAGAGGAAGTTTCTGTTCTGATTGAAGCTGGGCAGTAATTGGTATTATTGATCCAGAAACCTGATCAATAGTTGATCAAGATTAGACAAGATAACGTTGTCGAGAGTTAAACGTGGTGCATGTAAATTTTGTTTTCCTGTTTAACAGCTGATTTGGTGAAAATAAAAAGCCTTTTTTAAATTTTTATTTACCTTTCTGACTGGATCGAGTAAAATAAAAACGTGATAAACTTAAGATGGAAGTAGAAACTTTTTGTAAACAAAACTGTTCAGCTCAGTGATAATTTATGGAAAAACACGTTAAATTAACTTTAAAATTTATTTTAAAATGGATAAAAAGACCTGAGTGTAAACATCTGCATTGCACCACAGCGTTTCCCATGCAGATGTGTGTGTTATCATTCCACACTGAGTCAAAACAGCGAAACACGATATCCATCAGTTGATCCACTTTGAGTCCATTAATTCTCCCCAGTTGATCCCAGTTGAAGTGGAAGCTGTCTCTGGTTCCGGCAGCAGGAGATGTGTCCAGCTGCGTTCTCCTCACCTGTCCATCAGAACCAATCAGTGATCGGTTTAAAGGAGCGGATGAACACCCATATATGCCTCTGATCAGTTTCGGCCCTAAAGTGCCTTTGTTGTTTTTTTTAAATCACACTTTTCTTCTTGATTCACAACATAATGGAAATGAGCTTGTTCCTTATGAGAGTTTGTTTGTATTGAAGGCTTTGGTTTGGAGTTTTGTTGGGTTTAAACCGCTTTCAGTAGCTGCAAATTTTGTGTAGCGACTGTTGTCTTTTTCAGCGAAGCTGATTTTTTGGTTCTTTTTTCACCGACTCGCTCGTACAGTGAAGCTTAAGGGAGCAGTGAGAATCAGATGTGAGAGAATTGTAAATTCACTGCGTGTCTATTTGAGCCCTGAGATCACTGCCTGAGTTTTTTCCCCTCGTCCCCCTAACACTCGCTTGTATTTCACACTAACGTATGTGGAGGTTTCACATTCTCCTGTAACTTGTTGCATGACTGCTGTCATGCAATGACACTATGTCTTTACTGTAGCTTTACAATTCACCACAGCAGGATTTAAATGATCAGCCGCTCACGTTTGGAAGGTGTGGCTCGGATAAACACATATGTTCCCACCTCGTCTCCATCTGAGGACACCTGCCTCTGAAGTGCTCTTATTGGTGACGAGGAGGACCATTCTTCTGTCGGTTTAGTAAATGTGCACTCCTGAAGGCCAGGCAGTGTTTTTACCAATGTGTGCAGACAGGTCCATTCAAGATGGCCACCACAGCTAAGCAACCTTGTCTAACAAAAAAATGCCTATACCCCAGTCAGTTTTACATGGACTGAGCTAAAATATGTTGTGGTCGTAGCTGAGAGTCCTTCCCAATGCGTACTTCAAGCACTAATCAATCGTGCAAGATCTATGTTTAAAACTCAGCCATTATTAATGGAGGCAACTGCGTTCGTTAGCAAAATATCTCATGCACTTTGCGTAGAACTAAATGAAACTTTCAGGTGTACAACTACAACTGATTCACTTTTAGTCTCAACCTGATTGAAGATGGCTGCCAAAGGCTGAACACCTTAGAAAACCTTAAAATGGCTTTAACTCAGCCTGTCTTACAGGTATTTGGCTAAACCTTAGTATGGTAGTAGCTGGACATCCTCTTTATTGCATACTCTGAGCTTCTCACATTGCGCAACATATTTACACAAAATTTTGGAATTAGCGGTTAAAATCAGCATTGTAAGTTAGCAAAATATCTCACTAATCACTGAGCAGATTTTAATGAAAGTCTCAGAAGGTAATCATCGGGTTAACTTAATAACATAACTCAATTCAAGATGGCCGCCACAGGTACTTGACCTTAGCCAACACAACAATTGCCATAATTCAGTCAGTTTTACAGCTTTTGAGCTGAAATTTGATGTGGTAGTAGCTGAGCGTCATCTTCAACGCGTTTTCTGAGCATTTGACCAAAATGGCTACAACCAGATTACCATAAATCATAAAATAATTTCAGTTTAAAACTCTGCAATGGAAGGTGGAGGGCAAAATGCATTCCTTCCAGAAAAGCTAGATCTTTCATTTTAACAATGAGCACTAAATAAAACTTGTATTAAAGAGACACAATCATAAAGCCTCTTTAAACTGAGCTACACAAACCTTCACACCACCTGTGAGAGGACATGTCCCTGATGAAATGTTCTTTTTGGCACGCTGAGGTCAGCTTCTGTTTGTGGAGAAGAAAAGAGAAAGTTCAATTCTGGCACTCTTTCATCATCTCTGGAAAGCTATACCTCTAATACACTTGGTGACATGTTTGTCTGCCAAGTATAATTTGCTTGTTTGCACGAAGGAAACGTGCACGTCGTTGTTTTTCAGTCACCGTTTTGGTCAGATGTGTGAAGTGGCTGTTAAAGCAGGGTTTGATGAATTGATGGAATGCT